CACCCATTCTTTGAAAATAATCCTGTTTGTTAATAATCCGAGAGTGAAAGTGATGGGGTAATTGCCACTGGGTCGTCCTGCCGATGTTGACCTGTCGCAGACATTGGCACCTTACAACACAGCTGGTGGCACTCACAGGTCACTACACTGTCTTTATTTCAAAACACTTTTGTTTTCACTTTCACTTTCTGGAGAATCCCTGGTAAAAGGTATTGTCCCTTCCGATGCCTCCGAGGGTGTCCGAAAGGGGCCGATTATTTTAATATTGTCCTGAACTGCTCCTGTGATTAATAATAATCCTCCAAGATCCATGTTGAAAGCTGCAGGTACTGTGAAAAGTCCTCAGAATTTAGATTATGCGGCCGTATAAACTTATACGGGTGCATCTCGTTCTCTTGAAGAATTCGATGTACCGCGGAGCGATGCATACTGAAATAAAATACAGAAATGTATTAATAAATGAAGAAGGATACTTTAATATTAACGTTTAAATGCCATTAGCATTACTTACCCTAAACGGCGAGCGACGTCTCCTATGTTTAGCGTTCCATCTTCATGGAACTCTTCGACTACCTCGCGTTCTTTTTGCACTCGACGTGAAAATATAAAAAATATAAAATTCTGCGTTAGTCCTTTGCAGAGACATTTCGATGGTTACTGTCCGGCAGCTCTCACGAAAATGGTCACGGGTCAAACATAGTTTTCTTTCCAAAAACCACTCTGCCTTTACCCACCCCATGGCTCGATATTTTAACAAAAGTGTGCATATTGTTTGAACGACTTCCCCGAGTCTGATTGGCATCTTTGAACGTCTGCACGTGTTTTTCGAAACAATCAATTATACGACAGCCGATAGCTGCGAGACTCGAATTCACCTGAATTGCCCATTGTCCCGTTTAGGCTTGACCGTGCAATAAATTGTGCGAAGGCGAACTAACGAAAAGCTAATTACCTTCAATGATCCTTTTTACCAGACATTAAACATTTTGGTATTGCACACGGTTTTGTGTCCATTGAGTACCATTGATAGCGGCGCGTGTTTCGCTGAACTATTTTTTTTATAAAAAGAAAGCAAAGGTGATTTTGTAACTTCGCTTGATGCCTTCTTCTGCAGAAATGTCTGCTCTGTCATGTGCGATGGTTAGATTTTCGCCTAGACCCATAGTTTTTTAAATAAATTGAAAAATATCAGAAAAAATTGGTGCGTTTTTGGTGTCTTTCTTACTTGCGTTTTTGGTGTCTTTCTTACAAAAATTGGTGCGTTTTTGGTGTCTTTCTTACTTTGATCATCATTTAAACGTATTTAAATATTTACAATGTAATAACAATTTATTATAGTTTTATTCAGAATAATTCACAGATTCTTTTCGTGTAAAAAGCCACAGAATAGCTGCTACGGTAAAAGCACAACAAATTTCCAATGTTGAAAATTTGCAATTTTTTTTTAAATTAATTTTCTCCAAAACAGTACGTCCTAGAGAAAAACGGATTTCAGATTCGTATTCAGCTCGCAAAAATCTATAAGAATTTCATAGTAACCGTTACGAAATCCAAAAAAAGTCAAAATTTGTTGTACAGTGTTATTATAACATGTATTAATGTTATTATATGTATATATGAAAGATGTTTATAGATGTAAATACAGTGTTAATAACTTTAATAATCTGTAAAAATAATAATTATTAACAGTGCAAGCAAAATATTAAATCACGGATAAATCCCGACAAATCTATCGTACGACGTCCCTGGCACACGGAGTTACGTGGGCAGTCTAGCGTGGGAGTGGGGGCACGGTAGACGTCTACTCCGAAATCGGCCAGAAAAGTGCAATAAATCCGAGCACTGATTATAGGTAAACAACTCTATGAATGAGTGAACCTACTGAAGTTAGCCAAGGCACATACAGATGTGTAGTATCTTGTCGAACAAAATATAGATGACGTTGATAATCATAACACTGTTACCATCTGAACAAGGTTTAATTTTTGTGTGGAACTAATTAATTTTTAACCACTGTTGGCGGGTTAATATTACTAACCAGAAATTTAATATTTGTCATTGTTAATTTTTTATTTCAGGAGAATAAAGAACAAATATTTTTATTCGCAAAGTTCGTAAAAATTAATGTTTTCGACTGAAATAATGTATATAGTAATCAATAGTAATTTTAAGTCAAACCTAAGCTGATTTAAGTGTTTGTTTAATTTAAAATTGTTTGATATTAATAGGAGTTATAAACATAAAAGTATATATATGAATACATAAATGTGCAATACAAAACTAATAATTGATATAAGTGATAAAATATTAAACAATTAAAGAAAACAGGAATTTCGTATCTACTAAAAAATCAGATAGCTTTTTTCGAATATTGTAAGCCTATGATTGAATCGTCAGATAAAATTATTAGATAACAAATAATACGTGCATGTATAGATGCTGGTAATGTGTTTTACGTTTAATCGAATATTGTGTGAAGTGAGTATTTCATACTTTACAAATATTCTTCATTAATTAATAAAGCGTAGATTAAAATGTTGACACCAGAAACATACCAATTAACTCATCCAGAATCACTGACAGATGCTGAACTTAAGGAAATTTTAGAAAATGTAAGCAGATAAGGTTATGTTAACTAATTGGTTTCTTTAATTAATACCACAAACTTGTTCCTTTATGAATTAAACTTGTATTTATTTCATTTTAAGCTTGACTAATTTTTTTTTAAGATTCAGAACACTAATTTATCAGTGGTATAAAGTGCAGGAAATTTTGTATACAATAAAATTGTTTCAATATTGTATTTTATTTATATATAAATAATTATTACATATTATTGAAATAAAAATTATCATTTTGAAAGACTATTACATTTTATATTACTTACTTGTTTTATTAATTTATTTAAGCAATGCATTTTTTTTATTAATCTATATGAAACTATTCAAATATTTTTTAATTTATTTATAGAGGTGCATAGATTTTAGTAATTATAAAAATTTAACCAGATGTGGGTTAATAGAACTATATAAACGTGTGGCAATGCCATTGCCTCAAAGACAAAATGAAAATAACCATAGTGCAAGTACAAACAAGGATAATAAGGAAACAAATTCAGTTAATGAATCTCACCAAAATTTAACTCTTTTGTAAGTAAAAATATATCTTTTTAACTATCTTTTTATATCATTTTTAACATAATTTCTTGATATTATTTACTTATGTTCAGGATTTTTATGAGCAAGTTATCTTAAAAGCTAACAAAGATACTGGAAACTCTAAACTACAAAAATTGTTTTGTTTTGAGGGAAATATCTCATGATATACAATTTATTTAATCTAATGGATACCAAGATTAATTTCATTTTTAAAATTCAATGATATGTTGGTCTATTAATGATTTATAATGTTTGTAATAATATCATTCTATTCTTTCAGTAATTTAGCAGGTAGTGATCTATTTATGGTTAGTATTTATACTTATAGTGGTTGTTGGTATAACATCATTCTGCGTTTTCGAAAGGACAAGTCTATTTCAGTTAGTTAAATTGATATATATTTCTCTTTTTTAGTTTGTTGGAAATAAGTTAAGAACTTTCAGTTTCATTTGGTTTTGATTTTAGAAGCTATAATTAGTCTAGTTGTTTTATTTTAATGTAAGTTATATCTTAAATAACTTTTAATTAGTTGAATACCAAAAATGAGTATTTAGCACTTGCATTTGAAATGCTAAAAATATTTTTAAGATTCTTAGCATGTTTAAATTTCCTTCCTTTATTATTATTTGTATTCCTCTATCATTAAAAATTGTTTTTTATCATTACATTCTCTGAAATGAGCATTAGTCTCTTAAATTTGTAAAGTTTTGCTAATATTAGTTTTATACTGTTTTTGGTCTGTATCTTTATTTTGAAAAATATCAATCTTATCAGAAATTTTTAACAGTTTTCTTCTCTTTTATTAATTTTCAAAATTACTTTATTATAAACAATGTTAAGTGTAATAAGAATGAAATATCTTTGTGTATATTATATAATCTCATGATTATATTGTAAAATTTTATTACATTTTCTCCATTCTTTTTTGCTCTTTCCTCCTCATCTTTACATTTAATCTTATTTAATAGTCCTGTAGACTTTGCATAGCCCCGTATTGATTGATTGATTATATTAATTTTCAGTCATTAATTGTCACAAAACTATGCATCACATCAAAATATGGTATAAAAAATGCAATGCTTTTTCAACATTCTGTGCAATATAAAAATATTTTTTTTAAAGCTCGTTTTAGTGTTCAATGTTACAGTTTCAATTAAAGAAAACATCTGAAACTCGACTGTTATTCTGTTGCACTGATACTTTCACTATTCATATGTGATACTTGCGATTTAATCTACAATGATATAATGTATAATTGCATCATTTGAATTGATATTGTATCAGTGTATCCCCTGATGAAGCTAGCTGCAATGCTAGCAAAACATTGGGAACTTGCTTTCTTTAGGGCATGGCTTACACCTGAAAGCCTCAACAGCAATACCTGTCTGACGCTGGGCCGTAAAAGCCTCAAGTCTCTCATAAGCATTAAATGTTTTAATTAAACATTTTGAATAGAGAAAGTTGAAGTTGCATTATATAAAAAGTAACAATATTTGAGGATATGATATTTTTTTGTCACAGTATGTAAGTACGGAACATTTAAAAAATGAAGTTGATTTTTGAATCCATATAATGTCTTTGTTTTAAACAAAAAGTTTTTCCATGTGTAGTCATGAATTTTTAAACGAATATTTCCCTCACATGTATATTTTCGTTAGTTGTAGAAATAATTCAGTTATCTAATAAAATTCTGTAATGAAGACTATTACTTTACTATATAATAAAAGTTATTATTTTTTGTACAAACTCAGTTTTAGTTTTGATAAATATATGATAAAATGAATAATTCCATTATTATTATTTGGTAACTAAAGTATGTAAATTTAAATTTTAGAAATTACATATATGTATAGATATATGAAATTTAGTTTTAACGAAAAATAACATTTAAAATTTTTTCTATATTAGATTTATTTTTCCTCACACTAAGAATTTGTTCATTCTAAATTATATAATTTTTAATATACTAATATAATAATTGCATCAAATTCATATCATGTTTCAATATTATTAGTTTCTAATTTGCTATTCTCTAGAACTTAAAAAATGATTTAATACTAGGAAAAATCTGTAAAAGATTTAATAATAATGAAAAAAAATAACTGTGTTCAACAGGAATGGTACAAATAATACAAAAATAAATATAAATGAAGTCACAAAATCATCTCAAACATCTCATATGAAGTTGACAACTCCTGAAAATGAGTTAAAGTGTTCAACAAAGAAAATATGCTTGTATAATTCAAATACTGTGACTAAGTGCAACGGTGTTGATAAACGTAATGGCGATGACAAATTGGATGTATGTATATTAATTAATTATGTATATAATGGTTCATTTACTATAATTGTTATTTATAGTTTTAGTTAACTAATTGCCATAAAAATAGAAAATTGTTTTATATAATATCAAAGATAAGAGAACTGCTATTGGAGTATCGTTCTCTTTATACCGTCTTTAATTACATATATAATGTTCATGATAGAGTGTTTTAAATGAATCAATAAATGTTTTTTGAAATGATAACCCATTAATAAATATATTTTCAAACAACTAATTTAATAACTCTGATATATTACAGGGAGCTCCATCTAAGAAAAGACAGAAAATTACATGGCCGTAATGATATGTATCGCCCTATGAAAGATTTGGAAACATAAATGACAGTGTCATGTTGCAAATTTATTATTTCTAGCAAAGTTGTTTTAAAGGTGTCTAAGTGGAGTTTTCATATGTATTCTATTTTTACAGTTAATATATAATTTCTACATAACTATGAACTGTCACTGTTATTTGTGGTAATAATAACAGAGGTATGTTTTCTTTTTAAAGTGAAAGTATAATTAAATGCGTCTACGAATTTTAAAAAAATAAAGATATTATTATGTTTTGAAAATTCATAGTTATCATAATATAAAATAAAATTAAGATAGCAAAAAAATATGTTGCTACTTTATGAATGGTATTATACCAAAAAATCGAGTTTTAGTGAAATATTACATGACATCTCTGTATAAAAATTATATTTTAAGACTAGAATTATTGTTTTTCATAAATAATATTATTCCTGTAAGTGATTTTAAAGTATTAATTTTTGACTGATGAATTGTACGAATCAACAATATCTATCATAGAAATATCGATGCCTAGTACAACACACAATAATCTAATCTACAAGAACTATAAACAATTCTGGAATTTAATGTTACAATTTATTTTCATTTATTGGCAAAATATTGGTTGAATATTGAATTTTTTTCTTATTTTTTAATCATTTAACTAAATTATTTAATCTAGTTAACTATAGTATTGATTAGTGATGAAATCTATGACTGTTAATTTATTATTGGCTAAACATTTAAGGAATAACTTGCATGTATTCTTAATTAAATTCTGAAATTTTTTAACACATTTGTAAAACTTAATGTAATTTTAGTTATTTATTCAACGTCATTAATATGTTATTTTTTTCTTACCTTAAGTATTATCATTTTGTTATTATAATACTATTGTATTATGATTATGTGAAAAATAAATAACTCAATTTTTATGGATTCTATTAGGAAAGTTTGTAAGATATCATACAAAAATTTAATATTTTTATATCCAACTATTTAACTAACTAATATGTGCAAATATTTTGCACATATTATTGTACATATTAATGTTTCATCTATGATGGTCTGTATTATTTAAATATTTTATTGTAAAGGCAATGTTAGTAGGAAATGTTTACATATAAAAATGAATTTGTGTACTATAATAAAGTATTTTAATTTTTCTAGTAGAGTCTTGTATTATAACACTATGTAAAATATTTATATTTTAAAATATATGATTTCCGTAAATTTTGCAGTAGGCAATGAATTCATAAGCATTTACCATTAATAACATAATACTTACAAGCAGGAAATTCTATTGGCATGAAATTGCATCATAGAACTGCATGTCAATAGTCATACATATGTAGTATCAGTACTGTGTACGTGCAAATATAGAAATATGCAAGTACATTCTAAGAAGTGGGCAAGGATTTCTCTCTAGATTTGTATTTAAGTAATATTAACAATATAACTAGAATTAAAGTTGGATTTAAATAAAAATTATTTGAATGTTTTTCAAATACAGATGTAAAATAAAACAAAGATATTTGAGCATAACGAATGCGTTTATAATGTCTACTGAAATGTAAAAAAGGATCGGATAAAAGTATTTACAAGGTCAAAAATATTTTCTAAATTATAATTTAAAATCTATAAATTATATCTGTAATTTTAATTTGAACGAAATATTGCCTCAATTATAGTTTTTGTAATATAAAATGCTAAATTAGATTACATATTTTGTGTGTAATCTTTTTCCTTTACCACAGTTTTCAAAGTATTAGGCATCAAGTATACTGAATTGTGTAAAAGTGACTTTCAATAAAAGTACTGAAGGAATTATAGTAAATTCCCTGTAATTGCTCAAGAAACGGTCTTCCGCAATCTTCACATTATGTACTTTTGAAAACGTTATATATTGACGAGTAGTTTTTCAATGTTTATTTAATCAAAGTTAATTTAAGTTTACAAACTTCAAGTATTAGTTTGTTATTTCATTGCACGTTTTAAAAATGTTGATATTTACTCTCGAACGGTTTTGGGATAAATATTACGAAATACTACTCAAATTTAAGTTTGTTCAAAATACTTAAGTTTATTTCACGCACACTCGGAGTACAATTCAACAACATCATTCATATAGACTCATAGACGTATTTAATTCCTTTGTACTGATATACTGAATTCTATCTAACAAGGGACATCACCCAAATGATACACGCCGATCTTGATGAAATTTGTATATGTTATAGAACTCGGAAAAATGTTTTACTCTTATTTTTTTATCGGCGAATATTCACTTTAAAGTGGTGAAAATAACCCTTAAAGTTGGAATTGAAAAATTTATTTTCCCAAATATCTCGGGAACTATTAAGCCCAGACAAAAAATTCAAAATGCAAACTCTTCTGTTTTCGAAGGCTGTTTCTTGACCACGGTATCCAACGAATTGTCTCAAGTTGGCCGAGTGGTCAGTGGATCGCTAGTTCTCTCCTAACAAGGAGACGGAGCACAGGCGGGTTTAGGACAAAACTCACGAAAAGTTGATGAAATAAAGAATACTCAGTTGACACGTTTACACAGTTATTTAATAAATGGCACTCACGACAGACACTGGACGACGATAACGATAATAATCAATTCGGATAACAAAAGTTGGTTGGAAAATCGGGAGGAAACACGGCTAACGTTGTGACTCTGCAAAGTTCACACGGATAATAATATTTTAAAGTTAAACGGTAATCAAAATTGAACCTTAATCCGGTCGATGGCGTGGCGGTAGGACTAATCCCGTGCGGGAGGGATTAACGCGTGTACGCAGCGATGTAACAAGGCTTAGACGTGCCTAGGCTTATTATTCTTATTTCGGAACATACCGCCCGCCTCGGATCTTATGGATCCGACCAATCATCTTACAGCAAAAAGAGAACAAGAAAACATACAAGACTATCGTTAACGTAAATAAGGATGCCGCCCGCCATACGAAATATTTACAATCTTATAATCTACAATATATACAGACTTAAATCTAAGACGCCGCCCGCCAAACGCATGGTTACAATATTATGGTATTTACAAGAGGATTAGCACACTGTCGATTTCTCATGGGTATTGATGTCGACGGGTAGAAAACAGAGTTTCGTAATAGATCGCCGATATTCACTTTGTGCTGTCTTCACGGTAATGACGCGAGTGATCCCGTCGGATCCGGGATGGCAGTGCGTTATTCGTCCGAGTTCCCATTTGCAGGGAGGCGCGAGAGGGTTTCGAATTAAAACGATACGCCCAGGTTTCGCAAGGTCGGTTCTAGTACGCCATTTCGGTCGCTGTTGTAACGTGTGTAAATAATCCGTAGACCAAGCTTGCCAAAAGCTCTCGT